AATGATACTGATTTAGGGAAACCAGGTAGAATTACAGAGTAGGCAGAAGATTTTGTAATTTTTTAGGGGTTGTTTAGTATGATTATAAAATCAGCCTTGTAAAACCAATAACTCAACTAGGGTTTTCTTTACCGGAGACCATGGGAGCAGCCCAGGAGGTAGGTAGAATCTGCCAGCGGTCACTAACCAAGACTGTGCACTTCCAAACAGTCATTAGAGCTTTTTATGTAATTGAAACTCCATTTATTCTAACCTATTTATGTTGTGCATACAGATACATTTTCAGCTCTAAAACTGCAGCGTTCTTCACATTTCATTTCATTTTAAATAACACAGTTAAAGGAGGCAGAGCAGTGCTTTCTGATCTGAAACACCGTGTGCTCCCTGTAGGGTCTTGCTTCTTCACTGTCACCCAGGCACTCTCTGTAATCATATTGGCTCCTAGTTTTACACATCAGATAGTCTAGTTCTATCAGCCTTGTAGCCCGTCACTGCCAGACATGGGGTACATTATACTTTATGGGTAGATTGGAACAGTTTTTTGTGGCAATATATTTGAGTGTTGTAATTTTTACTAAAATTAAAAGAAAATATTACTTTCACAGCATTCTAAATAACAACCACGGTCACCTCAACTCTGGTCACTTATGGGTCTCAGTGTATACCAGGCATTGGCTTAAACCTTGCCTTGCATTAACTCTAACTCTGACTAGAGCACTACAAGGTGGGAGTGGTTTTAGAGATATGGAAACTGAGATGCAGAGAGGTTAAGTGGCTCACCGCAGGCCACACACCTCCTAACAGCAAAGCCAGGTCTGGAACTCCAGCAGTGCGGTTTCTACTCCTTTGCTCTTAAGCTCATACTGCTATTCCGATGGATGTTTTCAGCTGCTAGCAAACTTTTCGTTCCCTCCTACCAAGTTGTTTTTAGCTTACAGTCCTTGGTTGATTTTCCTTTGTGGTACTCGATTTTTAAAAGTTTCTATGAGCCTGCCTGTTCTAATGGCCACTTTTATTTTGAGAGTCTCTTAAGTTAGAAAATGATTTTTGGGAAGGTGTACTTCAAATGGAGATGATAATGAGAAAACATTATATCTTACTAGAGGCCTGGCCTGTGGGATTGGGCTGAAATCGGCTCACTGACATCGCCTGAGAGGTCCCCGATTGCCAGAGGATGGTTCTCGGGTGACACACCCCAGAATCTCGCTCCCTCCTCTCTGGTTCTGAGTGTGTCACCCGAGAATCGCAGCTGCCTAGTCATCGCAGCTCGGCAGTTCCTGTGTTGAGAGTCTGCTCCCTGGTGATCAGTGTACTTCATAAGTACCAGTTGGAGTGTCTGCCCATTGTGGTCATTGCTACTGGTTGGACATTTGCTTAGGCTTTTATATATATAGATAATGAATGCAGTATTCTGAGTTGTTTTTTTTTAAACTATACAGCAGGAGGATATCAGCCAAGTCTGTTTTTCTAGTATTTGCTTTTCTCATATATTGAATAAGGAAAATGTGCCATGAAAATAATTAAGTGCATTAAAAGACCATATTGACTTTTTTAGGCTGGCTTTTTTTCCCCTTAATTGTGTATATTTTTCATTAACTTTCTTCTTTTTTATAAAAAAATATTTTATTGATTTTTTTTTTTTTTTTACAGAGGGGAAGGGAGAGGGATAGAGAGTTAGAATCATTGATCAACTGCCTCCTGCATACCTCTTACTGGGAATGTGCCTGCAATCAAAGTACATGGTAGAATCAAATCTGGGACCCTTCAGTCGGCAGGCTGATGCTCTACCCACTGAGCCAAACTGGGCAGGGCAGCTTTTTTCTTGTATGATCAGTTTTAGGTGTGAGTATGCCAGAAGCCTCGAGCTTCCTAATTCATCAAATAGAGGATATTTTCTAGAAAAACAGCAAAGGCCTCATCTGAGCTTGCTACTTGCTGTTCAGCAATCCAGCTAGCATGCTAACACTGACACCCCATGTGCAGCTGGGCAGGGGGTGCAGAGGGGCCCTCTTAGGGAGGGGCCCCTCAGGCCTGCATAGGGTCTGGTTGGCTACTGCTTAGCCATTGCCTGACAGACATGCGTTGATTTGGTATTTTATGCTTTTGGTCCCTCAGTTAAAATAAGGAAAATAAAACATCATGGAAAAACTTTAAGGTCTTTGAATAGAATACTTTGGTAACATGGGGGTGGATGTTTCTTTCATGTAAGTAGATCCTAATACTATAAAAAATATTACCTGTTTTTCATAAAGATGGGTGTTTTGCATTTGAAGTTGCTAGTTTCGGGAATTTATCGACGTTAAGATTTCCTTTTGAATTTACAGCATTCGGGATGGAAATGAATAGATGTTCTGATTTAGGGTCTGGCTGCAAAGTTGAAAAGGCCAATTCACCTGTCTGGCTTGGAGAATGTAGAAACCGATGCTTTCTTTTAAGGCTGTTGAGTTTTACTCAAGCCGTGGTCGGCAAACTGCAGATCGTGAGCCACATGAGGCTCTTTGGCTCTTCCACAGAATACCACGGCCTGGGCGAGTCTATTTTGAAGAAGTGGCATTAGAAGATGTTTAAGTTTAAAAAATTTGGCTCTCAAAAATAATTTCAATCGTTGTACCGTTGATATTTGGCTCTGTTGACTAACGAGTTTGCCGACCACTGCACTAGGGTATATTGAATATGGCCACAATACTTATGGCCAACCTTTCTGAATCGGTCGGTTATTTACATCCTAGAATGTGTTCGCCTCTTTCCAGTGTCCAGGCTCTCAGGCGAGTCCCTAGACATCGACTTACCCTGTAATTTCTCTGATTTATCATGTTAACAGTGCTAGAGAAAAGAAGCAGTGATCATTAGATAGACCCCAAGTTCCGATGGCCCCGGGCCACATGTGCCCCGTGAGGCTCACGAAGCACCTGGGCCGTGGCCGGGATCGTGCTGCTCCTGCAGAGACTCCTGGTGGGTGCGGGTGGGGTCCGGCTCTCATTGGGGGCTTGCAGTCACCTGAGCAGGGAACACATGGGAGTGGGGGTGGAGAAGGAGGTTCGGGCTTGAGAGCTGCATGTACAAAGTTCCCTGCTGCAAACACTAAAGTTCAGCTGACAGAAAGGTTGGAAAAGCTAGCGAGTCTTTTGGGTGAGTGAAAAGAGAGCACGTGTTGTGATGAAGCATGTCTAATGTTTTCCCTGTGTAATTTTACCCATCTCAACTTTTTTTTTTTTTTTTAATATATTTTATTGATTTTGTACAGAGAGGAAGGGAGAGAGATAGAGAGCTAGAAACATCGATGAGAGAGAGTCATCGATCAGCTGCCTCTTGCACACCCCCTACCGGGGATATGCCCACAACCAAGGTACATGCCCCTGACTGGAATTGAACCCGGGACCCCTCAGTCCCCAAGCCGACGCTCTATCCATTGAGCCAAACCGGTCTCAGCCCATCTCAACTTTTAATGTCGGGGTTCCGCGGTGTGTCCAGTTGCTCAGGGCACTTGGGTTATTGAGAAAGCCCCTGTGCACCTGTCGAAAATGCTGGCATAGTTTCTGCATGAGTACACCCCAGTCCTCTGAGCCCTCCCTCACGGAAGGGTCTTATTTCAGCTGCAGCATCCTTTTGAATGCGTGTGATAGGATCAGTGTCCAGTTTTCAAATGGCCCAGTCTTCTCCGCAATGCCAGCTTTCTCATTCAGGGCAGTGTTTGCCGTTCCTTCTCTCCCCTCCTCCACCTTTAGATGAAGAAGAGAAAGGCTTAGACTATTTTTGAGGCAGCTGCTCACAAAAACCTTGTTTTCTGAAGAACTGTGCTTGTCACTGCTTAATAATGGCGTGCGTCAGGCCTAGCCGGTGACAACTCTGCCGCGGTGAATGGGCGATGCCTCGTGGAAGGGCTTCTCTGTGCGGCCCGCGGCCTCCGCAGCCGCCTCCCTGTGCACACAGGGTCATTGAGAAGAGCCATGCCGCCGAGCGTGCCCGGGGCCTCAGAATCCACCCGCTGGTGGCTCTGGTCTTGTTGTCACCCTGCCCTCCAGCGGGCTGACCTTCCCAAAGCCCAGTTAGTCAATGATTGCCATTTCAGTTAAATGAGGCCATGGAATTAGATGGCTTATTTTGAGTTTTGAGGATATGGTGGCTCTTCCAGACAGGTAAAGATTGAAGCTAGATTAGGTGTAGAGGAGCTTAAATACGGCTTGATCTTTCTGGAAAGTAACTTAGTTAATGGTTTAATGGGGGAAAACGTTATCCAGCCTCTTGATTTGCTTAAATCCATTGTAAATTTTACTTTTTCTCTCAACTTAAGCAATTTCTTTTATTTAAATTGTCTTTGAAACAAACAGAATGCCTTTCTAAAACAGAAAAATAAAATGTGACTTCATTTCAGAATCAACAGTATTAGTTTTGATACCTTACTGCTCTCACATTTAAAACTTAAATTTAAGTTTCCTCTCCCTGCGTCTGTCTCTGCACATCCTGGTGACCTTTTCCCACCTTCCCTCCACATCTGCCCCTGGAGGTGCACCCACTCTGCCCACTCTGGGGCCCTCTGGTCTGCCAGGCTGTCTTCCTGCCTCTCTCCTCAGTCCCTTTGGCCATGCCAGCAGTACGGGTGCCCTCCCAAAGGCCAAAGAGCCAGCTTCTGTCTTTGCAGCCCTCTCTCTTTCCCTCACCCGCCTGCAGAGCAGGGGCAGCACCAGGGCGCGGCTGGGCTGGGGCCTCCCAGGAGGCCTTGCAGGTGGACCTGTGGTCTGTCAGATGCACGGGGACCGCCCCCTCCACCCCAGTCTGAGCCACGTTCAGGAACACGGGAATGTCCCATGACGGTCACTGTGGGGATTTGGACTTTGCTGCCTTCATCCTTTGTTTTGTATGTAGATATAAGCCTGGGAATTCTAGGGAAGACCAGTCTGAATTATGAAAAATTCTAATAATATACAATTTAGTTACTTTCAAATTTAAGTGAACAGTTTTATATCAGTGTACCCTGTTATAAGAAATTAAAGTCTTTTTTTTTTAATATGTAGCACTTCATGAATTTGCGTGTCATCCTTGCTCAGGGACCATGCTAATCCTTTCTGTATCCTTCCCATTTTAGTATATAATATGTGCTGCCGAAGTCAGCACAAAATTAAAGTCTTTAAAGGCGTTCATGCTTATAGGCTAACTTAGAAATTGAAGTTATTGAAAAAATTCTTGATAATTTGAAAATGGTTTTGGGAAACTCTCTGAATTTCCTGGCGGAGTTTTTATGGGGCGCACACCCACAAACATGTGTTCTGCAGGTTGAGCTGAGTGGTGTTTCTCAGAGGTGGGTGTGTGGCTTCTCCATTGAAGGAGGCGGTGGAAATGGGCAGAGACGTGGGAATGGTCTTGCTGGTAAAGCAGACCTGCAAGTGGAAGGGTGGAAAATGATTTCTGGTTCAGTGGATTTCTGGGTCCTAGAGCCATCCCTCTGAAGCTGACAACACTCAGCCCTCAGAGAGGCTGCCCCCTCTGCTGACTGCCCATCACTCCGGGTCAAGGCCATTTACAAAGGCAGGGGTGGGGGTGTGTAAGGGTGAGGGTATGTGGGGGTCGGGGGAGGAGGATACCTTCATTATTACTTTGGCTTGAAAAACAGCTGAATGAACTGCCTGGGCTTTAGGGAGGGACTGGGGATAGAGAGTGTGTTCACGTGGTGGGGCTTTCACTCGATCCTTTGTGTCAGTCCAGTTTGCATGTGTCGAGGTCAACAGCTGAACAGACCCTTGGGCATGAGCACTTTGTTGCCAAGTTGAGGATGAGGTTCAGGGAAGGCGAAGGGCAGGCGTTTGCTCACAGGACACATTTGTTGAGTGGGGTTCTGGGTAATATTGCCATTCTGAGCTGGCCTGGTTAACAGGGTCATTTTCAAAGGAGCAGAGAACAGAGTTCCCTGACGCCCAGGCAGCTCCAGCTCAGGGCGGGAGAGAATGTGGTGACCAGGTGTACATCCGTAATATGCCACCTTGCACCGAGCAGAAAGCCGGAGTAGATCTGGAATGTATGAATGTTCTGCCGATTTTCTTACCTAGCTCATAAATAGACATATATTTTCCCTTTGCAGGTTTTGGAATTTTCCTGTTAAGAAACTGTGTGCTTTCGGAGGCACAGGGAAACGGTGACTATGAATTTGTTAGAGAGGATCCGTGCTTTACGATTTTATTGTCTTTAGGGCATGTTTTATTCTTGACACAAAGGAGCAATAAGAGCGATTATCACTCACGGAAACTGCAGCCAACTGCAGCGCAGCCCCGCGTGGTGCTCCCACTGGCGCGCAGTCGCCTCCCCCGCAGCTCCTCTGCACAAAGGAGGTGATGTAATCCTTCCCGCGGCCACGTGGCAGGAGCATGCCGTCACTGTCCTCACGGACACTGCTGCCAGCTCCTATCAGCTCCGAAGGGCTGTGCCTTTGGAATTAAATCGCATTCCTCTTGCTGCTCCTCACTCCTTGCAAGGCTGTGCACACACCTCTGCATACGCACGTGTGCCTTCATGTTCCATGGGTGACTTTTTTTTTTTTTTTTTTAACACAGAAACGTGACCAGAGTAGCATGTTGTAGAGGCCCACGGAGGCTGTGTGTGTGCACAGACTTAAAATGGGGGGAGGGGGACTCTGTTGCCATGAGCAACCACTTACCTATTTATCAGAGGGCGAAAGCTCGCAGCTTGGGCTTCCTCCTGAGCTCTGGCACGCTCGGAGCTGGCACGCTCGGAGCCGGTACGCGGGAGAGCTGCCCAGGGAGCTGCGTGGCCGGCCGCGTGTGCGTGGAAGGACATCTGAACCGCACAGGCTGCCTTTGGCTGCCTTCCTCTGTGGCTGTCCCTCCATCCTGTTGACTCAGGCATAGCAGCTGCGCAGTCACTGCAGTGGATGACTGCACCCCGTTTCTGCAGCGCAGGGTGGAACACTTCCCTGCATTGGCTCCGGAGCTTCTCCGGCAGCTCTGACACCCAGCACTGCGGCCAAAGACAGAGCCGGGCTCGGGGACCACTTGGCATTTGACCCCAGGGAATTTTTTTTTAAATTATTGTTTAAACAAAAGGTTCGGTCTGGAGCCTTCCTGCTCCTCAGGCGGCCCCGGGGATTCTTTCACCAGTGGGTCCCCAGCCACTGAGGCTTAATGACACCCAGACAGCATTGCACCTTGTGCCTGGCTCTCTGGGTGATGTCATTGCAGTGGTGAGGTGCTGCGACCTGTACTATTAAAGGACTCACAAGGTTTCCTTGATCCAGGGGGCCCCATGCCTCTGGGAACCTATCGTTAAGCTCTGCCAGCACTAGTTTTGACCAGCATTTATGGATTGTACTTAGAGGGACAGAGCTTAATTCCTGTATAACTAAAAATCAGAGCACCTTAATCCCGGATTCTGAAAGTGCCCCATCACTTGGAGAATTTGGAGATGGAGGCGCTGGGAGACTGAGAGGAGCACTGGGCTGTGCCGCCCTTGTCACCCCTGGCATGCATGGCCACGGGCCGCACCCGAGCCGGGCGGCGTCACTCCCCGTGGGCAGCGCAGGCTCAGGGCTGGGCCGCAGGGAGCAGAGGCGCGGGCCATCTCATTTGTTGAGCTGACGGGCACAGAGCACCATTACTAAGCAGGTTTTCGTGTTCTGTTGGTGTCACCTCTGAAACCTTGCAGCTTCTGGGAGGTGGGGATGGTCCCTGCACTGGATGGTCCCTGCAGATGGATGGGGTTATGAATCCATCTGCAGGGGTCAGGGGCCAGGGGTCAGGGGTGGGAATGATCTAATCAATAGATGAAGCAGGTGCCAACAGAAGCCTCAGGATCCTTCTTTCTGAGTCTCTTTCTTCCCGGAAATCAGCAGGGAAGTTAGCAGCAGAGCTGCCTGGGTGTGGAAGGGAAGAAGACCCAGTGTACAAGCTGGCTTTTCTTGGCGAAGGAAGACGTGCCGGTTGGGTGAGAGGGTGGGAGGAGGTCCAGGGCGTGAGGCGAGCAGGGCACTTGGGAACAGCCACAGCGGCCGCAGCCACTGTCCACTGGCGTGTGGTCCTGCGGATGGGGGCGGGGCGCCTGGCCCGGGATCTCACTGGACCACCTGCGAGATGGCAGTGCTGCCTTAGCACAGGCCTCGGAAGGAGCTTCCCTCGCAGATGCCCTTCCCAAGCCTTCAGCCTCTGCCAGATCCTGTGCAATGAGGCACTGAGATAAAAATAAATGCCACTTTGGCTTTGTTTATACTTGTTTACAAAAGGAAAAGGTCACTTTCTGACTGAAGACTCAGTTGCGGTCATTTTGCGTCTTGTTCAAGATTTTGTCTCATTAAAAATTAAGCATTTTTGCGCAGGAGTCTGTGGAGACGTCTTCAGAATGCCGGGGCCGCTGCTCTTCCATCACGTCCGCTGACAGGTCTAATTGCTTTTCCGTTTGTGGTCATTCCCTTCTGGTCCCTCCTCACCACTCCCCCCGCCACTGTTTAAGCCCAAGCCTGGCTGACTCCCTGGCCTGCCTGCCCTCAGCCCACCGTCTCCGCCCAGAAGCAAACACATGGGCATATTCATCATCAGCTGCTCCCGGCCGGGCCCTTCAGGTGGCCTCACCTGTGTGCCTGTGTCGGCCCTCCATGTGGGACCTGTTCCAGGACAGCTCTCAGGGACAGCTGCCCTTTCTTGTCATCTCTCACGGGAATAACCAAAGATGACAGGAGAGCGCAGGAACGATGGAACCATTCCTTTACAGCCTTCACTTTTCTCACCCTCCTCCTTCTCACAGTGATTAGTTTTGAAAATACTGACATTTTAAATAGAAAGTATTACTGTTAACATGTAATGGGTATATCATTACCTTTAAAGAAATTAATATTTTAAACTTATTTTGTTTTAATTGCAATACGTATCCGTATTAGGTATCTAAGTCCTATGCAGATAGAATCCACAGAGCAGAGGAAGAGCCCACAAAACCAAAGCTCTCTGGATACTCAGCTATAAGCATGTCAGGGTGTCTGGAGACCCAAGCCTGGTGCCCTGCTTGCTGGCGGGCTGAGGCGGGAAGGAGGCCTGGGCAAGGCAAGTCGGAGGCGGCAAGAGCCAGGGCCGGCCTCTGCCTTCTGCCTTGGCCCCATCCTCCCTAAGGGCCTCCTCCTCCTCCTCCTCCTCCTCCTCCTCCTCCTCCTCCCAGCCCTAGTCGGACACACGTGCAGTATGACACAGTCTGCCACGCTAGCCTTCATTTTTCCAGTTCTACCAATGCAGCTATGAACATGTAAATTCCATGCACCTTGCTTCCTTCTACCTTGATCCAAGGAGGTCAGAACACATGGATTCTCCTCCTCTTCCTCTTCCTCCTCCTTCTCCTCCTCCTTCTCTTCTTCTCTTTGCTCCAACCCACCCTAGTAGCATAGACGAGTTACTGTGTATTAAGTAGGCTTTTGAGGGAACCCCTGAGACCCTAAGCGTGATGTCTTTGGGGAGACCAATTCCTGAAATTGAGTCATGGAACATTCACTAACACAGTTTTGGAGCGCAGGCCATTGGGAGGTTAGAGATGGCGTTTCTGCCCTGGTCTCCGAGCAGTTCCTGTCTGGCAGTTGCTCGTGTGGAGTTTTAAATAGGAGGAACTATTAGAGGAACTCAGTTGAGATAGAAATAGAAGGGGAAACATCTGGGGTATCCTGTTCGTTCAGGGTCAGAGTTTCAGGGTGAAATGCGAGGATCTGGTGTATTGTTCTGTTAGCTCAGAGGTTAGAACTCCAAATTAATCTTAATCTAATCTCCTGCCCATTGATATGCTTGTTTTTGTTTTCTTCAACTCATTTTGGCAAAATTTACCCAACGGTTGCCTCCTTAAATACCTAGACTCGTCTGGCAGCCACGTAGGCTCTAGGGAGGGTTTGGGAAAGCAGCGTGGCTCACCTCGTAAACTTGGAGGTGCATACACGCTGACCCAGACTGGGGAGGCCCTGGAAATGTGCTCTGCGATACATGGACAGGACTGGTCATGGCAGCATCACTTACAATGAGCAAATGTCTGTTAGTAAGATTGCACAGACAGGTTTGTGGAAGAGCCATAGAACAGAGCATTAAACACCACTCAGCATGCACATCAATGTGTATTGACCATCCAACAGGTACATGTCAG